AAAGATATAGGTACTGTGTAATACATATGTACCTTCTAACGCAATAAAAATCCTAAACCTTGGTAGGCCAATTATCCCGATAAAATGGTGAGATAGAATAAAACTGAGAATGCAGTTTATCTGCATATGAATAATACTTCATGCCTGCTATGTCTTTTCTTAGATTAATCTTTACAAATATTTTACTACTTTAGAGATCTACCACAGTTTTTTTATTAATAAACTACTACTAATTTGGTTTTTGAAGTGACAACACTGCACCTGATTGTACCCTTACTGGTATCTCGCGTTTCAACTCAAGAGGGAAATTGCTTGGATTGAGAGCTCTGTTGGATTTTTGGACAGGATACCTTCCATTACATTGCCCAGAAATTTTGAGCGATTGATGGCCAACTTTTATTTAGGTTTAAGCATTTTAATAGTTAGCTGAGTAATCATAATCATTTCAACTGTATATACACTAGGGATGTCAATCCCGGGATGTCGGGATCCCGGGATCCCGGTCTTTTTTAAGTCCCGAATATCCCGGGATTAGTCGATTTAAATCCCGGGATTGCTGGAAACAATTTTTTTGTTAGCCAATTAAATTTTTATCACAAATATCCCCTCTCAAGGGCAAAACAAGAATTTTTTGCAACCCTTAATGCTATAATTTCTTTAAGATCGCATTTCCATCAAAAGAAGGAATAATTTTGCTTCGCTCAAAATGGAATAGGTGATGCACTTATATATTTATTTTTTTATTAAAAAAAATATATAGCTCATTTTACAACAAAAATCATGTAAATCAAAATTTCACACTTTAGAGAAAGTTGGTTTAAATTCACCAAATTATCATAAAAATATCAAACTTTTTAATCATAATTTAAAAAAAAAATTCTATTATGCAGTTTTATAGCCCATTCAATTTAATACAATAAAGTGCAATTTTAAAGTTGCTAAAAACTGCCTTGATTTTTGAATTTTTTTACTGACGATATTGGGCATTTTCTTCCTTATAACGAATTTTTTTGTGGCAAAAAAAAAATATATAAAATGTCAACGGGATGGTTTAGCAACTTCAAAATTGCACATACGTATATATTTTTTTAAATTAACAAAAAAAA